AGCCAGGGCAGGTGAGAGGAAGGGAGGGAGGGCGGGGGCAGGCGACGAATGAATAGAAATTGCAATAATTCAAGCGCGATTCGCGCTGCTCCGAGTGACTAACGTATTGTATTATAAAACAATCCGCTCTCCATTGGAGCGCGCACACTCGCATTCGCGCGAATGCGAATCCCGAATTTTCTGTTTCACCTCCGTCCTCCTCGATCGGATCGATCGACCGATCGACGACCCGTGCACGGACAAACGGACGTGGCGATAATTAGCGTCCGCAGTGTCGCGCGCCATCGCGAGAGGCGCGCTCAAAAGGAACAGAAGGAAGAGGTGAAGCGAGAGGGAGGCGACACGGTGACTTCGTTCGAACGAAACTCCCCGTGCTCGTCGAGCCGCATAACTACGGATTGCGACGTTGCGGCGCAAGGTTACGGAGGGGGTTGCGCTGAAGCCGGGACATTGTTAACAGCATTGCTGCCTAATTAACCGCAAACGCTTTCAGTGGGTTTCGCCTGGTCTATTGTTTACATGCGGGCACGCCGCCTGTATGTATGCACCTGTGTGCGTGCACACGCGTGTTATATTGGTGTGCACGCCGGGGTCCTCTCCACGACCCAAGCAGCTGAAATATTTCCATGGAGATTCTCTCCCCCTTTGTGACGCGCGCGGATATATACGTGTTTCGCCGCATTTCCATGCATGCCCGCGACACGTCGCGTCGCGGAAATAACGCCTGGTGATAGCGCGATCGCGAAGCGTCCTCGACGGAGCGTCTCGCTTCGGAAGTTTCATCGGCGGGCCTAACGCGAAACTCTCCTCGTTGAAACGAACTCTCCGAGAGGATCGTGCGAGGGGATCCTCGACTCGCATTAATGTGAATTACTGTCGCGCCTGTATACACTTTGCATTGGTATTTATATCATGGGAATTAGCTTAATATATATAACTCCTGAGGGGATTCTTTAATCCCGGATGTGTCTATTCGAGGACATGATTTGATGCGAACTGTTGTCACGCCTATTTTGCATTGATATTTATATCATGGAAATTAATTTAATATGCGTGCTTTTTGAGGGGATTCTTTAACCCTAGATACATCTGTTCGAGGACCTGCAAATTGATGCGAACTTGTCACGTCTGTATAGATTCCGCACTCATACACGGAAAAAATTGTAGTAAAAATTAAAAAACAAAAGTTTTATAATTTTCAACTATGTAAAATTATGACCAGAATTACTATATATTTGTTTAAAAATGTCATACACGTTTGGCTCTTTACTATAAAATTATTGTAATTACTTGAATGTTTTTTTATATCAGAAACAAATCGTCAAATTTACTATTTCTGTATAGCAATTTACATTACAATCTTAACATACTTAAATACTTTAGCTTTACAAGACACATTGTGAAAGAAACATAATTTTAATATAATTTTTGTTACAATATGTTCTTCGCGTGCTTATATTATAAAAATTAACTTGTATAATTTTTTAACGCTTGAGGGGATTCTTTAATCTCAAATGAATAAAAGTGTATTGAATAAAGCTCGTTTTTTCTTTGAAATCTTTCTGGAAGGATTTGTTTCTTAATAAAATGTGACATTTTCCAATTAACGATGAAGGAAAGAAGTTAATGTTGAAATTAATCCATAATGTCGCGACATAGGGGTAGGTTTAACGCGGAGGATAAGCTGCTAATCGGATAATCCCCTCGGTATGTGCAGCTATAATGTCAAACAATTTTACCCTCCTGCAGTTAGGAATATCCACCGGATGTCCAAGTATATACAGAGAAGGAGATTCGATAATAAAAGGTTACTGCAGAATTATGTATTTGGGAAGTTGAGAATATCGACATTTTGCCTTAATTTATCGTCTTTCCATTTCGTATGCACTATTTATATTTTGGAAACTGGAGTCTACTGTTAAAGAATTTATTACATTTATTAACAAGACCAGTTCTACTGTTTATTATTCAGGAGAGCATAGTAAAATTGGAAAGAATTTATAGACAAATAAATAGATAAGACAAACAAATAAATAGGTAGATAGATATGATAGATGTGTTCTGACAAAATTTCGCCTCTCTCAAATGCAACTTGCAAATAGAATTGCAATAGAGAAAAAAATAAAGAATTTATATTTATATGAAATCAAGAATAAGAATGTTAAATATAAATCGAATTTGACCATTGAAAATTTATATGAAAATAAAGAAATTAAGAGATTTATACAAAGAATTCTAAAAAGCTACATAATATTCTCTTCGTGTAGGCTGCTGTTAGCCCGTTACTTCCGTTTCCCGAATTTCCCGAATTTCATTTAACGAACTCATTGTCGCCGAGCAGCTTTGGAAATTCACAGAATTGGGTGACGAGAGAAGAGCGACAATGCATAGTATATCGCACGGCCTACCATTTTACTCCGCGTTCGCTGTCCTTCGACAATCGAAAGTGCCGCCGCGCTCTCGGGAATGTTTTTGTAACCTTCCATCCCCGAGTCTCGCTGCGCGGCTCGGTGCATGCCGGATGTAATTATCATTTTCCGGGAGATTCTGCGGGATCGTTAGTCGTGATACGCGATAACGGATACGCCACGGCTGCACAGGAACCACCGCGCGACGAAGAGAGGAGAGAGGGAGAGAGCGAGAGTCTCGGGGAATAATTTAATAATCTTGCAGTCTGATTGCGGGAACAATCAGATTGGAAAATTGGTTACCTGGCCTGGGGAGAGCGGCCGCACTCGAGTCCGCTCTCCCTCCGGCACGAGCATTGTTGACTCCACCTGAGCCAATAAGCAGCCCAGAGTGCCGCTGCTACCCGATATTCTTGATTTTTGGAATCTTGTTAGCTCGGCCAGGAACTCGCCAATTCGCGGGACGAAGCGACGTCGTCGCGGTATATCCGATGAACGAACCCGAGTCGATATGAAAGCCGCGAGTCCGTCTCGACTTTGCTATGCTCTCTTATTAATATTTTATATCTCTTTACCGTAATTTATACACAATTTCTCTCTTTATCATCACGACTCTTTGCCACTCTTTGGGAGAGGGAATCTATTAGTAGTCTTGTCCTCTCTTCTCTCTCTCGCGCGCGCCCCGAGAACACAGTCCCGAGAAGAATTATTTCCATTTTCCTTTGTCCACAAGAAAGCTGCTATCGCGATAAAAGGTTCCCCGGCGAAATAAGTTATTCATAATCAATACTGCGTAAGCCTCGAAGGCGCGTAGCGTGCTCGCGATTCAAAGATCGTTCGTAAATCAATTGCCCGCGTCATTAATTTTATATTTCGGCCACGGGATACGGAGGGGATGGCGAGCTCCGCGGCGCGACCCGCATAGCGGGAGGGAAGACTCATTAATTACATCATCCGCATAATAAATCCGCGGTAAAATCGAGAACGAAATATACGTATCCCCCGTTCTCTCAGGGGAGTCGCTTTTACACTGCCTCTGCCTCTCTCTCTTTCTCTCTTTCCTGATGCGATTCGTTCGCTCGTCAGCTGCTGGCTAATTCGTCGACTAGGAAAAGCACAAAGAGAAAACGCGCCGGTGCGTTTGTCACGCGAGCGAGTGTGTGCACGCGCGGCGGCATCCTGTCAGGACGCCACGTGCGTCTCTCGCGTGTCCTCACGCGAACGACGCGGGTAACCCACCGCTCGTGATAACTCTTGGCGGGTATGATAATGGAAATAAAGATGAATTAGCGGGCCACGAAACAGGGGAAAATGAACGAAGATGAGGGAGTGACACGAGAAGCGAGCGAAATTAACAAAGATAAACGCCGCGGAAAATCGTGCGGAAAGGTCCAATCTTGCGGGGCTACGCAAATCTCATCGTGCGAACTGAAATTGCGTCAAAATATGTGATAAATGTCAGATTAACAATTCGACGCGAAATGTACTGCGAAACGTAGCCAACTGTAAGAGGCTAATGAAACTGAAGCGCGTCATGTTACATTTATCACACAAACACGATATTATGATACAACTGTACAACGTTTAATTATATTATATTATAATGTAATGTAAATATTTTTTTAATTATCAAAAGGTTGTTCGAGCTGCGTTCATAACGTGAGTAATTCTACCTCCGGTCGAAGCTCAGGAGGTACATCAAATGATAAATACGATTAATAATATGTTGGGTCAGCTTCATGATCAGCTCGTTAAATTAAACTTGGAGCTTGTATTGCGCAAGCAGAGATCTAAAAAACCACGAATTATACCGAGAGAAAAGAATTGGGTTAATTAGTTCGCCATAAACCATCCCCGAAATTGAATTAATTTCGCTCGATTCTTCGACCGAGCTTTTTTCGCGGTGATTTTTATGCAAACGACACGAGATAAGCGAGCTGAATAAAAATTAAAATATGTGGGACAAAATAAGCGATCGAACATGCCGAATAAACGAAAATGCGCAAGACGAAGAAACGCAAGAGCAGATGACAGTTTGCTCCTCGACATTAGAGATGAGAAAAATTTTAATAAAAGATTTATTTTAATAAAATAAATTTATTTTAATAAAATAGATTTATTTTATGCGCTAAATTCTAATGCACAGTTCTTACATGTCCTTAATTCTTAATTTCTTAGTCGTATGTCACAGAGTCACAGTCTTTAATATTTTACATTGAGAAAATTCGAAATGAATGCATACGAGGCAAAATAATGTCCGCTTCTACCAACGTCAATTAAACTTCAATCTGCGTTTAAGCTCCATTCAGACAAGGGTTTGAATGCAGATAAAAGTCTGAACGAAGCAAAAATGAGCACAAAACTTAATCTGCAATGTGTTTTGTTCCCTGTTTCTTGTCCACTATCTTTCTGACTTAAAATTTGGAGTCAGAAAGAGATAAAGAAACTGGAAAGAACACACTGTAGATTAAACTTAAGAGAAACACAGAGAAACTGATCACTGAAGCGGGACAAGTCGTATGAATAAATAACGCAAAAGGAAGAAGCTTGCAAAATCACAAATAACAATTTCGCGATTGCTGCTCTTGACAGGTTACGGCAGGACAAGGCCGGCGGCGCCTGGTGTCCGCGTAACATGGTGACCAAGGAGGGCAAGGAGTACCTGGAGGTGAACCTGCACAGTCCGCGACTATTGACATCGACCAGGACTCAGGGCAGATTCGGCAACGGCAACGGGGTCGAGTACACTGAGGAGTACTTTATCGAGTATTGGCGGCCGGGGTTCAACAAGTGGGTGCGATGGAAGAATCGACGTGGCAAGGAGGTAGGTACCATCTGGCCGGGTCATCGATCGAATCGCGTCCCGAGATTTCTTTCCCGGGGACCGTAAGCCGAAATTGACTGCGCGCGCGAGTCTGCCAGGTATTAGGTGACTCCTCGAATTTCTTTATCGGCGCGCGCGCGCGCGCCTGTGTCGACAGAATACGTGAGAGCTTCCGCCACTCCATGGAATTCGCGAAAGAACGCGCGCGCCTTTACGAGATAACATAAGAATGCATCCCGTTGACTCTCGTCGATAATTATCGCGTAATATTGTATAAAAGGACCCCCAGACTCTCCTTCGTAATTTTTGTGGGAACGGAGATGAACATAGAAGTCCTATACGTTTTACGATATTTGCAATAATATTCGAGATATTAATTGAGGAAAATTGGTGAATGATGACGCGCGATATAGTAGATGAACTGTAATTGGCGATGTGTACTATTGTGTACATTAAGTCAAATTGAACAAAAAGGCTCTATCATTTTGCAAATAACCACGTAGATCTTTAGTTATTAATGAAAGAAAATTGTCACATGATTGTACGCGATAATCCAGAGCGAAATTATTCGCGTTTAGATACAAATGCCTGAGAGAAAAAAGATTTTAAAGAGAAATGAAAAATACTTATTTGACAAATAGCATTCACTTGTGTTCTAAAATGGAAAATATTTTTCAAATAAGGAAATATACATTTTTTTAAGATCGTAGCTTTTCATGAAAGCAATTGTTTATTTTGTTTAAATAAAGAAACTCTGACTTAAGCAAATATGTTACTAGTTTCTCCCACACAAAATAAACATTTTTATTTCTTACATATTTTTTCTTTCAGTGTATGTAATTAATATTTTGGCACGTTGTTAATTCATCGAGCTATTATTTCGTTCAAGCCATTGTATCGAGTGTGTATTAATTTGTTAGTAGTTGCTAATTGACAAATGCACGCTCCAGATGATCTTCACACAGAATGGAAATTTATTGTTATCATGCGGCCTCAAAGCAAATTAATTTCTGATTCTGACGTGTACATGATTTACCGTAATTCATTCAAAGGCACGACCATTATGTAATTGTTATCGGGCTGCTGTGTTCGCTGTGCGATATTACGCGAGCACGATGTCTCTCTCTCTCTCTCTCTTTCTCTCTCTCTCTCTCTCTCTCTCTCTCTCTCTATCTCTCTCTCTCTCTTTCTCCCTCTCTCGCTCTCTCGACGGTCGTGAATATGTAAGGATCTTCTCGCGGAGAGGCGGGCTTACATTTTCACTCTTGCGGAACGATTGCGAGCACGGCCACTTCATCCACGGCGCGCACCACCAGTTCATTTCAGTTCACGGCGCGATCAGAAATCATCGGACTTGCCAATCGGATTTCGTTCTCACTCGGTGTGCGCGCGCGCGCGGTAACGCGCCGAAATTCGATTCTTCCCGACGCGCCAAAGATTTTTATGCAGACGTTACGCGCGCGCGCGCGCGCGTGGCAGGAATTGAAGATGAAATATTGGAAATTCGCGGAGCGAAATTTATTTTTCCGCCAAGAGATCTCATCATTTCGTGTCACATTGCGAAGACAGATTGATCGATACAGACACGAGAGCGCCCACACACACATATATACGTATGTGTGTACAGAGCGGCGCAAATAGACGGTCCGAAATATTTCAACGAACGTATAGTTCGCGTTTGCAGCTAATCTTATCGCACATCGCGAAGAAATATTCGCCTCTTCAGGTGTAACTGCACGCGGAAAAATACATACTGCATTCAAGTGAACGTTACTTGTTTTATAAGTTTACATTTCCGCAAGGCTGACACGAGTTTGTCATAAGCATCACATTTATTCCACGAATACATTCTGAATCCCAGTAAGTTTAACATTCAATGAAGGATATTAAATTAAAACAAAAATTTCTTTTTCTCACTATATAAAGTCGAACCGATTTTTTCTTCGATGAAGTTCCGTAATATTCTTGCAAGAAGAATGAATTCTTCTTTTGAGCATGTACATGATAATGAGCTTTTCTAAAGTTTATGGTGAGTATATTCTAACACTATTATCAAGAAAATATTCTTCGTTGAAGATAACTGTTACTTAAAAGAACAGAAAAGTAATCTGAGTCACTTTTTAGCAGCAAAATGATATTTTTCTGTGTTTATATACGCGGGAAAAATATCGTAGGAAAAATTGCAACAAAATTTTTGTAACTTTCGGATTTTTATAATTTTCAGACCATACTAAATTACAACCAAAATTATTATACATTCATTTAGAAATGTCATGTGAGTTTAACTTTTTATTACAAAATTATTGTAATTATTTGAGAACATTTCATATCGTATATCGTCGAATTTATTATTTTTTATATTTTTACATTTTAGTTCCTAAAATATAAAAGTACACATGAAATGAAAGGATAATGAGTTACTGCAGAATATTAATCTATTCCTTGCTTACAAAATTTCTAATATACTAAAAATTACTAAAAAAAATTATCTCTATGTAGGTCGTCAAACTTATGTTTCTATAGTGACTTATAGCTCAGCTTTACAAAAACACTAAAAAGGATTGTAAAAAGGATGATAATTTTAACATAATTTTTGCTGCAATATTTTATCCGTGCAAAGCACGAAGTAATAATTCGTACATATTCTATTAAGAAATAAAGAAAAATAAACAAAAATGAACATTAATTTTTGAAGTTCATTCAGAAAAAAATGTCACAAAACGACCTCTTCCGTGCTATGATTGTATTGTAATGTATCACGATGCAATTGATTAAAAAAAAATATTTTCAAATTTATGTTGTACTATAATTTCGTTTACATAAATTTTTCTTCTACCCTCGCATTTCGAAGTTATTCTATGCGACGATCTCTCTCTCTCTCTCTCTCTCTCTCTCTCTATATATATATATATATATATATATATATATATATATATATATATATATATAGGGGTGTGTATATGATATATATCAACGATTTTCTCTCACGGTTGTTACATAGCTGAATATTAATGTCCGTATTTCGCTCTCCGTAAATACACGCCGCCACATACGTCGAGGGGAAATTAGCGTAGTCCATACGGAGCGGCTCGATTTCCTGGATTTAACTCAAGTTCCCATCTCTGACTTATTCAGCGCAGTTACAAATTGATAAAGCCAGTGCCGTCTGATTTTAATCCGATACGCGGGGGGCGTAAAACGATCTCTCCGTCTCGCTCTCTCACTACGCAAAGCGCTTTACGATCCGCTGTATTCCCGCTAAACCTTGATACGATTGATTACGCGAGAATTTTACGGTCGCTCCCCGCGCGGGAATTCGCCAAATTTGCTTAAGGATTTATATTTGCCTACCGTTCGCTCTCCCCCTCCCTCTCTTCCCCCTGCGTAATCGCGATCGGCCGCGACCACACGGAAATACGAAATGGCGAGTTTAGCGGCGGTTCTGCGAGAGACGAAAGCAGCCACCTCTATCAGGGGGTTAATTTTATCTCCTTTCCGGCGAGGGCGTCCTCCTGCCAGTAGAAACGCGATCGTTTGGCCCGGCGGTCCGACGGACCACTGCCGAGGCGCGATCTGCCGATGTTTCGCGTTATCCAAAACACCTGCCCACCTCTCTTTCTTTCTCCATTTTGTTATATTTTTGTGGCTTTCCGCCAAATTCAATGGCAAAATTATAAAATTGTGCGTTGTTTATGCACGCTTTAAAAATATTTACAACGTAAAAGCTTTATGTTTCATTGGCTGAGCCAGAGGAAAGATTTCGTTGTGGGAAGGCTGGATCATAATTATCAGTTCCACATACAATAAAAATGTTATTATATAATAATGCAATCAGTAAAGCAAATATATATAGGATTTATACGTCGCAATTGTGCGCGCTTGAGGAATTTTGATAATGAGGATAATTTTGATTTTCGCACTGCGGCTCTTATGGGACTTCTCTCTTAAAACAAGAGACATAATTATCACAAGGACTTTTTTAAAAAATAGAAAAGATTGATAATTATATAATTTCAATATTAAATTTAGTTAACTAGAAAGTTAACTAAACATTATTCGTCGAATATTCGAGATTGCGGCCGTCTGTTCTTCATTATTTCGCACTTAACGCGACTCCGCGTGTATAATAATTACATCAGACGAGCTTAATCTCTGAATTAGCGCACGTTATTCTCCGTTTTTTGCTCCCTTGCGAATAAGAGTTTCATTCCGTCGAGTTTCATAACTCGAGCGTTATTCTGGCAGCGTTATTCTCAATCCTCGTTTCAGATCGTCTTAAGTTTACCTTCAGATGTTGTGGCTCGTATAGTCAATGAAACGGCTCTTGCAATATCTGAAGATGTATTTAAGACGACCTCAGATATAAAATGATCTCAGAATACCTTAATAGGAGAGAGCGGGGCGCAGAGGACTGCTTAACATTTTAAGGTTAATAAAAAATTTATCAGTTATAGGAAATGGCCCAAAGTTGCTCAGCATAACCTACATATGCATATACAGACAAAGCGTTAGTTTAATAACTGTAAGAGATTTTATAACGTATTCACAATACATTAAAGAAGTTATGTGTACATTTACATTATTTTTACATTGTCATATAGACATTGTCATATGGTAAATACGTATATTTTATTGTAAAGGGTGTGTTTGGGGCACAGAGGTCCGGGATCGGACACATATATTAATATATATATATTAATTATAATAAATAAATACTTTTTCGTTATTATATAATAAATATATTGTTCTTATTGTGTACCTATTAATTAAAAATGAAGGAAGAAATGCCAATAAAACATTGTTTTTTTTACTTTATATGTGCTTTCACACACACACACACACACACATGTAAGAGATTTTATTTTAGACATTAAAATTGTTGGAAAATTGTTGGCCAAATGGTCCTTTGTGTCCCAAGTACGGGACACAAAGGACTATGTATGATTTTCTATATATGTATGATAATATTTTGCACATCATACATATAAATAGAAACAGAG